TAATGCTGTTGTGTTTCTCTGGGGTGGAGTTCTGTATCGCTCTTCTGTGTCTCTAGTGTGGGTGTGTAACGCTGCTATGTGACTCTGGGGTGGGCTGTGTAACGCTGTTGTGTATCTCTAGTGGGGGTGTGTAACGCTGTTATGTCTCTGGGGTGGGGTGTGTAACACTGTTGTGTGTCTGTGGGGTGGGGTGTGTAACGCGGTTGTGTCTCTGGGGTGGGGTGTGTAAAGCTGTTGTGTGTCTGCGGTTGGGTGTGTAACGTTGTTGTGTGTCTGTGGGGTTTAGTTGTGTAATGCTGTTGTGTGTCTCTGGGGTGGGGTGTGTAACACTGTTGTGTGTCTCTGGGGTGGGGTGTGTAACACTGTTGTGTGTCTCTGGGGTGGGGTGTGTAACACTGTTGTGTGTCTCTGGGGTGGGGTGTGTAACACTGTTGTGTGTCTCTGGGGTGGGGTGTGTAACACTGTTGTGTGTCTCTGGGGTGGGGTGTGTAACACTGTTGTGTGTCTCTGGGGTGGGGTGTGTAACACTGTTGTGTGTCTCTGGGGTGGGGTGTGTAACACTGTTGTGTGTCTCTGGGGTGGGGTGTGTAACACTGTTGTGTGTCTCTGGGGTGGGGTGTGTAACACTGTTGTGTGTCTCTGGGGTGGGGTGTGTAACACTGTTGTGTGTCTCTGGGGTGGGGTGTGTAACACTGTTGTGTGTCTCTGGGGTGGGGTGTGTAACACTGTTGTGTGTCTCTGGGGTGGGGTGTGTAACACTGTTGTGTGTCTCTGGGGTGGGGTGTGTAACACTGTTGTGTGTCTCTGGGGTGGGGTGTGTAACACTGTTGTGTGTCTCTGGGGTGGGGTGTGTAACACTGTTGTGTGTCTCTGGGGTGGGGTGTGTAACACTGTTGTGTGTCTCTGGGGTGGGGTGTGTAACACTGTTGTGTGTCTCTGGGGTGGGGTGTGTAACACTGTTGTGTGTCTCTGGGGTGGGGTGTGTAACACTGTTGTGTGTCTCTGGGGTGGGGTGTGTAACACTGTTGTGTGTCTCTGGGGTGGGGTGTGTAACACTGTTGTGTGTCTCTGGGGTGGGGTGTGTAACACTGTTGTGTGTCTCTGGGGTGGGGTGTGTAACACTGTTGTGTGTCTCTGGGGTGGGGTGTGTAACACTGTTGTGTGTCTCTGGGGTGGGGTGTGTAACACTGTTGTGTGTCTCTGGGGTGGGGTGTGTAACACTGTTGTGTGTCTCTGGGGTGGGGTGTGTAACACTGTTGTGTGTCTCTGGGGTGGGGTGTGTAACACTGTTGTGTGTCTCTGGGGTGGGGTGTGTAACACTGTTGTGTGTCTCTGGGGTGGGGTGTGTAACACTGTTGTGTGTCTCTGGGGTGGGGTGTGTAACACTGTTGTGTGTCTCTGGGGTGGGGTGTGTAACACTGTTGTGTGTCTCTGGGGTGGGGTGTGTAACACTGTTGTGTGTCTCTGGGGTGGGGTGTGTAACACTGTTGTGTGTCTCTGGGGTGGGGTGTGTAACACTGTTGTGTGTCTCTGGGGTGGGGTGTGTAACACTGTTGTGTGTCTCTGGGGTGGGGTGTGTAACACTGTTGTGTGTCTCTGGGGTGGGGTGTGTAACACTGTTGTGTGTCTCTGGGGTGGGGTGTGTAACACTGTTGTGTGTCTCTGGGGTGGGGTGTGTAACACTGTTGTGTGTCTCTGGGGTGGGGTGTGTAACACTGTTGTGTGTCTCTGGGGTGGGGTGTGTAACACTGTTGTGTGTCTCTGGGGTGGGGTGTGTAACACTGTTGTGTGTCTCTGGGGTGGGGTGTGTAACACTGTTGTGTGTCTCTGGGGTGGGGTGTGTAACACTGTTGTGTGTCTCTGGGGTGGGGTGTGTAACACTGTTGTGTGTCTCTGGGGTGGGGTGTGTAACACTGTTGTGTGTCTCTGGGGTGGGGTGTGTAACACTGTTGTGTGTCTCTGGGGTGGGGTGTGTAACACTGTTGTGTGTCTCTGGGGTGGGGTGTGTAACACTGTTGTGTGTCTCTGGGGTGGGGTGTGTAACACTGTTGTGTGTCTCTGGGGTGGGGTGTGTAACACTGTTGTGTGTCTCTGGGGTGGGGTGTGTAACACTGTTGTGTGTCTCTGGGGTGGGGTGTGTAACACTGTTGTGTGTCTCTGGGGTGGGGTGTGTAACACTGTTGTGTGTCTCTGGGGTGGGGTGTGTAACACTGTTGTGTGTCTCTGGGGTGGGGTGTGTAACACTGTTGTGTGTCTCTGGGGTGGGGTGTGTAACACTGTTGTGTGTCTCTGGGGTGGGGTGTGTAACACTGTTGTGTGTCTCTGGGGTGGGGTGTGTAACACTGTTGTGTGTCTCTGGGGTGGGGTGTGTAACACTGTTGTGTGTCTCTGGGGTGGGGTGTGTAACACTGTTGTGTGTCTCTGGGGTGGGGTGTGTAACACTGTTGTGTGTCTCTGGGGTGGGGTGTGTAACACTGTTGTGTGTCTCTGGGGTGGGGTGTGTAACACTGTTGTGTGTCTCTGGGGTGGGGTGTGTAACACTGTTGTGTGTCTCTGGGGTGGGGTGTGTAACACTGTTGTGTGTCTCTGGGGTGGGGTGTGTAACACTGTTGTGTGTCTCTGGGGTGGGGTGTGTAACACTGTTGTGTGTCTCTGGGGTGGGGTGTGTAACACTGTTGTGTGTCTCTGGGGTGGGGTGTGTAACACTGTTGTGTGTCTCTGGGGTGGGGTGTGTAACACTGTTGTGTGTCTCTGGGGTGGGGTGTGTAACACTGTTGTGTGTCTCTGGGGTGGGGTGTGTAACACTGTTGTGTGTCTCTGGGGTGGGGTGTGTAACACTGTTGTGTGTCTCTGGGGTGGGGTGTGTAACACTGTTGTGTGTCTCTGGGGTGGGGTGTGTAACACTGTTGTGTGTCTCTGGGGTGGGGTGTGTAACACTGTTGTGTGTCTCTGGGGTGGGGTGTGTAACACTGTTGTGTGTCTCTGGGGTGGGGTGTGTAACACTGTTGTGTGTCTCTGGGGTGGGGTGTGTAACACTGTTGTGTGTCTCTGGGGTGGGGTGTGTAACACTGTTGTGTGTCTCTGGGGTGGGGTGTGTAACACTGTTGTGTGTCTCTGGGGTGGGGTGTGTAACACTGTTGTGTGTCTCTGGGGTGGGGTGTGTAACACTGTTGTGTGTCTCTGGGGTGGGGTGTGTAACACTGTTGTGTGTCTCTGGGGTGGGGTGTGTAACACTGTTGTGTGTCTCTGGGGTGGGGTGTGTAACACTGTTGTGTGTCTCTGGGGTGGGGTGTGTAACACTGTTGTGTGTCTCTGGGGTGGGGTGTGTAACACTGTTGTGTGTCTCTGGGGTGGGGTGTGTAACACTGTTGTGTGTCTCTGGGGTGGGGTGTGTAACACTGTTGTGTGTCTCTGGGGTGGGGTGTGTAACACTGTTGTGTGTCTGTGGGGTGTAGTTGTGTAATGCTGTTGTGTCTCTGAGGTGGGGTGTGTAATGCTGTTGTGTCTGTGGGGTAGGGTGGGGTGTGTAACGCTGTTGTGTGTCTGTGGGGTGGGGTGTGTAACACTGTTGCATGTCTGTGGGGTGTAGTTGTGTAACGCTGTTGTGTCTCTGGGGTGGGGTGTGTAATGCTGTTGTGTGTCTGTGGGGTGTAGTTGTGTAATGCTGTTGTGTCTCTGGGGTGGGGTGTGTAACGCTATTGTGTCTCTGGGGTGGGGTATGTAACGCTGTTGTTTGTCTGTGTGGTGTAGTTGTGAAATGCTATTGTGTCTCTGTGGGGTGTGTGTAACACTGTGGTGTGTCTGTGGGGTGGGGTGTGTAACGCTATTGTGTCTCTGGGGTGGGGTATGTAACGCTGTTGTTTGTCTCTGGGGTGGGGTGTGTAATGCTGTTGTGTAGCTCTAGTGGGGGTGTGTAACGCTGTTATGTCTGGGGTGGGGTGTGTAATGCTGTTGTGTATTTCTAATGGGGGTGTGTAACGCTGTTGTATGTCTCTGGTGTGTAGTTGTGTAACGCTGTTGTGTGTCTCTGGGGTGGGGGTGGGGGTGTGTAAGGCTGTTGTGTGTCTGTGGGGTGGGGTGTGTAACACTGTTGTATGTCTGTGGTGTAGTTGTGTAATGCTGTTGTGTGTCTCTGGGGTGGGGTGTGTAACGCTGTTGTGTCTCTGCGGTGGGGTGTGTAATGCTGTGTATTTCTAATGGGGGTGTGTAACGCTGTTGTGTGTCTCTGGTGTGTAGTTGTGTAACGCTGTTGTGTGTCTGGGGTAGGGGTGTAACGCTGTTGTGTGTGTCTGGGGTGGGGGTTTGTAATGCTGTTGTGTGTCTGGGATGAGGGTGTGTAAGGCTGTTGTGTGTCTCTGGGGTGGGGTGTGTGACACTGTTGTGTGTCTGTGGTGTAGTTGTATAATGCTGTTGTGTGTCTCTGGGGTGGGGTGTGTAACACTGTTGTGTGTCTGTGGTGTAGTTGTATAATGCTGTTGTGTGTTTCTGGGGTGGGGTGTGTAACACTGTTGCGTGTCATAGAATCATAGAATAATAGGACTGGAAGGGACCTCAAGAGGTCATCGAGTCCAGCCCCCCGCCCTCAAGGCAGGATCAAGCTCCGTCTACACCATCCCTGACAGATGTCTATC